TCAGCCTTCCAAGTAGCTGGAACTATAGGTGTGCGCTACCACACCCGGCTAATTTTTTGATTTATTGTAGAGATGAGGTCTCGCCAAGTTGCGGGTCTTGAACCCGCGGGCTCAGGCAATACCCTCACCTCAGCCTCCCAAAGTGCTGGGATTACAGGCTGAGCCTCCGAGCTCGGCTGTGAGTATAATTTTTAACTGTCATGTACTTGTATGGGGCTGTAATCATACTTGTCAAATAAGTGAGTGTCTCTTGCTGATTATTTTGTAGAAATTCTAACTCTAGGTGTTAATAGATTATCTTTTCTCTTTAATCATTTATATCTTACATTTTTTGCTGTGTTTTCCAGAATACATACATTGAAGGTGTGACGAGATATTTATCTAATTTCTGGTAAGTTAAGTGACTTTCAGAGAATGAGTTCATAAAGTAATTATACAGTTATATTTTTAGCCATTTTAGATTTAAGGAAAATTTTAGTGACTGTAAGATAAGAGCAGTACTGATAAGTTATTATTGCACAATGAACCTTACATCTGTTTCTCTGTAAAAGACAATATTTGTAAATATATGTCATCACTTTCTAAAGAATTGGGTTACTTTTATTGAATGAGGTATTAAAGTTTTCCTTTGTGCAAAACAGTTATCTCAATATGACCTACCCCAAAACTCAAATGTTCAACACGATCCACTTAAGATATGAGTCTAATTGTTAATATCAGTCTGAAATTTTATTCCTTATCAGCTTTATTTTCCTTTATTAATTGTGACTTTTACTTTCCTCTCTCAGTTATAGCTTTATTTTCCTTTTCTCAATTATAGTGAGTTATTCCAAAAGCTAAACACAACACACTTCATAAGCAGACAGTGTGAAACCTCATAATTTTCACACTTAAATCTGCAACAAAGTTAGCCATTAACCATCTGCTCATTTTTGGTATTAAGAAATGACTCTAAATAGTATTTATGTAGACTAAAACATTTAACTTTATCGCTGCAGAGAAAATAATACTGGATTATTTTTCCCTTCTAGTGTCAAAATTAAAGACCTGCAGTGGCAATGAAGGAAGAAACTGAATTTGTCATTTTCACCTAAAGAAAAATGATGGACAAAAATCAAACCTGTGGTGCAGGACAGGATTCTGTGCCCTATATGATCTGTCTGATTCATGTACTCGAAGAATGGTTTGATGTGGAACAACTGGAGGACTATCTGAATTTTGCTAGCTATCTCTTGTGGGTTTTCACACCACTCATACTTTTAATACTTCCTTATTTTACTATCTTTCTTCTCTATCTTACTATCATTTTCTTACACATTTATAAGAGAAAGAATGTGTTAAAAGAAGCCTACTCTCATAACTTGTGGGATGGCGCCAGGAAGACGGTGGCCACGCTGTGGGATGGACACGCAGCGGTTTGGCATGGTAAGCACGATGCTTGGATGTCTGTTGCTGTTTGGATGTGGCACTGACACTATATTATCATTTCATTCTGCTGATAAAGAAGATACTGGGAAATATAATGGAAGTGGTTTTGACTGTACCCTGTTACCTATTGGCATACAGTGTGCATATGTACGGGGGCCCCCTAAAAATGGAATTTATTTATAAAAAATTGTGTATGTATTCTTATATGTTTAGACTTCAGTCACCTTCAAAGTACATTTCATTTGATGCACCTGCTTTTTCAAGACACTTTTTCTACCACTCAAAACGGTTTCGAACTCATCCATTTTGATGCCTTTGAGTGCTTCTGCTGTTTTTGGTTTCACCTCTTCCACATTGGCAAATCGTATCCCTTTGGAGACTTTTTTCTTCCTGGGAAACAAAAAGCTGTTGCTTGGGGTGAGATCAGGTGAACAGGGAGGTTGGGGCACAAGGCTCATGCTTGTTTTGGTCTCAAACTGCTGCCCTCACAGTGTGAGGTGGGCGGGTGTGCTTGCAAGCCACCCGTCACGAAATGGGCAGACGTGTTGAAAGAGTCTCCAGAACACATTCACCGAAGCTGAATGCAGCCTCTCACAACAATGCTAGCTGGTACGCCGATGCCATAGGGTTCCTAGAACACGTACCTAGCCAGGGATGCCTGTACTACAGGGGGTCCACTCTCCAAAAAATAATTCTGGTTCTTTTGGGTCCTCCTCGTATGTCTTTTTTAAAATGATTTTCCCCAAACACATTAGTTTCCATTAAACAAAGAACCACACAACACTGTAGACTAGGGGTGTCCAGCCTTTTGGTTTCTGTGGGCTGAATTGAGTAAAGAAGAATTGTCTTGGGTCACACATAAATCATATAATTTAATTAGTGTATATACATATACAGATGGGATTGCAAAGAAAACAAGCACTAAAAAACACGTGATGTTAAAAGATTTTGTGGGGCTGCATTACTAGCCATCCTGGGCCATCTCCAGCTCGTGGACCACAGATTGGACATGCCTGCTGTAGATTGTTACTATAAGCTGAAATATGAAAATTTATATCTAAATCATCTGAAAGAGTAAGAGACTATTTTCACTGTATAGAAAACTATTTTTAAAATGCTTTCTTTAGGCCAAGTATGGTGGCTCATGCCTGTAATCCCAGCACTTTGGGAGGCTGAGAAGGAAAGATCAGTTGAGACCAGGAATTTGAGACCAGCTTGGGCAACACAAGCTGGCATCGTGTCTTGTGCCTGTAGCTCCCAAAATAAATAACTTAGCTAGGCATCGTGTCTTGTGCCTGTAGCTCCAGCTACTTAGGCTGCTGAGGTAAGAGGATCCCTTGAGTCAAGGAGTTTGAGGCTGCAGTGAGCTATGGTTATGCCACTGTACTCTAGCCTGGGCGACAGAACAACATCTCATCTTTAAAAAAAAAAATCAACCTTACTTAGCATTTACTTTTGTTCAAAAAAAGTTTGACTTTATCAGATTTTAAAAAATGAAATATTCTATAATAATATTACATTAAATATAATTTGCATAGCAGAATTTACCTGTTTTCTGTTTGATTCGTTCCTGAGGTTAGTGTGTCTTTCTGAATAAATGAGATAGCAATATATTTCTCACCAGGGCCAGCTGCAGTGGCTCACGCTTGTAATCCCAGCATTTTGGGAGGCAGAAGCGAGAGGATTGCCTGAGCTTAGGGATTTGAGACCAGCCTGGGCAACTTGGTGAGATCTCATTTCCACAATAAATCAAAAAATTAACTGTGTGTGGTGGTGTGCCCCTGTAATTCCAGATACTTGGAAGGCTGAGGCAGAAGGATTGCCTGAGCCCAGGTGTTCAAGGCTGTGGTAGCCATGAGCGTGCCACCGTACTCCAGCCTGGGTGACAGTGAGACTCCAGCTCAAAAATAAAAAACAAAAAGGATTTTTGTCTAGGATATTCTTTCTTTATTACTTGAGAGACTGTGGTATTGTCTAGTTAGATTAGTGGTTCTTCCTTTGGCCATCATAAAAATTGCCCTCTGGTGACCTACTTTCAAAGCCTTGGTGCTTTCCTCTACCAATTTGTACTCCATTATTCCAGTACCTTATTTGTTGGTCTCTTTTTATATTGGGCTATACAAAAATACTGAAGATTCAATAGGTACATAACCAAGACGGGTTTCCGGTATTATGTTGCTGAACATGAAAGTGGTTTCACAGAAGGATGTGGAAGGAAGCACAGATTAGAAGTAGACACTTGAGGATGTACATCACTGAAGTATAAGGCCACTCTTTTTTTTTTTCAGTTAGAGTCTCACTCTGTCGCCCAGACTGGAGTGCAGTGGCCACTCCCGGCCACCGCAGCCTCGACCTGCTGGGCTCTGGTGAACCTTCTGCCTCAGCCTTCCAAGTAGCCGGAATTACAGGCATGCGCTACCATGCCCGGCTGATATTTTGATTTATTGTAGAGATGAGGTCTTGCTGCCTGGGTGGGTCTCAAACCTGCGGGCTCAGGCAATCCACTCACCTCAGCCTCCCAAAGGCGCGGGATTACAGGCTGAGCCACCGAGCCCGGCACCAGGCCACTCTTAACAAAGATCCCCAGTGACATGCTTATTTGGCTAATGTGTTGTCATTTCAATGCTACATGCATACTTATAAACTTCAAATTTATTTTTGAGACTTATTATGGCAGACACCATCAAGGCTTATCTTACATTAACTCCTTTAAATCTCATAACATAATACGTAGATTCTATGTACTATCCCCATATTACTCATGAAGGAAGTGAGGCACAGAGCAGTTGTTATTTGCTCAAGGTATTACTAGGAAGCAGAGCCAGGATACAACCTCAGACATCTGGCTCTCAGACCTGTGTTCTGTACTGTGTGGTAAATCTGTCCCAGGTAGGAGATTTGAGGCCAGAAGTCATGTTATTCAGCAGGTTTGCAAACAGGAGCCATATGCCTTTGGTGTATTGAGTTTTTAATATTTATTCACTGCTACTGAAGCTTCTGCCAGTCAGGACAACTCTCATATCCTCCTCTTCTTTTACATGAGGCAAGATGCTGTTTTAGCTTTCCACATGTGCATTTCTGCAGAGACTGCATCTGTGTCGACTGTTATTTCATTGCCTTTAAAACAATGATGTTAATGGCATTATTCATAATACTTGCTGGGAATATGTATTCTCTTCCCATATATATATTCCCTATGTTTCCAGATATATATAGTAAAGCATTTAAATGTATTTATATTTCAGAAGACAGGATTTAATTTAGATAAATTTAAGTGCTAAAATTATTTCATAGAATATATAATTTTGAGGTATTTTTAAGTATGCACATATGGCTCAGAGGCAGTAAAACATATAGTTCCTAGTCTGTTTTAATGTTTTATTATGATAACTTAATAACATTGGGGTAAATGTTACCATTTTAAAAACTGATTTTTCATTACCTTATTTTTTTAGTGTCAGAAATAAGAGATATTTGTGTATATTTGGATTACAAAATTGATGTCATATCAATTTTTATTTGTGTTTTTTAAAGAATCTGTGGAGGAATTTTTTTTTTTAAGAGACAGGGTCTTGCTATGCTGCCCAGGCTGGCCTTGGAACTCCTGGGCTTAAGTGATCCTCCTACCGCAGCATCCTGAGTAGCTGTGACTTACAGGCTGGAGAAGGTTTTTCTTTTCTTTTAATCAAAATGTTCATTGTAAAAAGTAGAGAAGTACAGAAAAACACAGGAAGAAAATAATCACCTAAAATTCACCATACATAGCAGTTTTCTTAAGATTTTGGTGTGAGCCGGGCGTGGTGGCTCAGCCTATAATCCCAGCACTTTGGGAAGCCAAGGTGAGAACACTGCCTGAGCCTGGGGGTTTGAGACCAGCCTGAGCAGCTTGGTGAGACCTCATCTATACAATAAAAAATCACAAAAACTAGCCAGGCGTGGTGGTGTGCGTTTCTAGTTCCAGCTACTTGGAAGGCTGAGGCTTAAGTTTTGCTTAAGCCCAGGAAGTCGAGGCTGCGGTGGCCATGAGCGTGCCACTGTACTCCAGCCTGGGTGACAAGAGTGAGATTCCAACTCAAAAAAAAAAAAAAAAAGATTTTGGTGTTGGTTATTATTTTTTATATGTGTGGTAAACTAGTATTTTTTATGTCACTAAGCCTTCTTCATAAGTATGACTTTTAATGACTATATGGAATTCTATAAACTCTAAGTAAATTTATTTACTGTTATTGAACAGTAGTTATTTTTTCTTTACTATTTTAAATAATAAGTATTTTGATACACGAATCCAATGTTTTCTATTTTGAAGTTAAGTTTTACTCTTCTACTGTGTATAATGTAAGTGTAAGTGTACTAGGATTTTTTGAAAAGTTCTATAATTCTGAGAAGCATTAATTTGATGTTTCTAAAACATTTCTAGGTAGTTTGCTTGGTGATGCGTCATTGAGTTCTCGCTCTCAAGTTGCTTACAGCCTTTAAACTATAACACTTTGGACTCTTTTTTAAAAAGACATTATTCTTGAAAATATGAATGACATTTTAGAAAGCTGGACTCTTAATAGTTAATGATTTCTCCTGAAAATTAATATGATGAGGAAGATTCCTCAGTAAGATAATCTAGATATTTTGGGAGGAATTAAAAGCTGTATTTTAGCACAACTGTAAAGGTAGTAAGGGCCATAACTTTCACTTCAGGGAAATAAGGAATGTTTTATCTTTGGGAATTTTGCTTGTTTTATCTTGTGTGTGTATATTATTGTGGTTTTGTTTTTGTTTTACAAGGGAATTTACTTCATTGTCTGAAAACAATGGTATGCTTACTTAACACCAATGTAACTTGTTCAATTTATTGACAATATGAAATTTGGGGAAAGTGCAGTGGTTTGATTAATTAGGCAGTCAGTTTATATGGTATACTACTTATATTATGTGAGTTACTGATTTTTAAAAAATAGACCCCATAATATCCCACATGCTAAACTTTTTTTTACTTCATGTTT